CATTTTTCAAAAGCATCTTTTTGTTTTGTTTTTTTAGGTAGGAATGTCAATTAATTTGTTATCTAGATATTGTCATGATTTTGGCGCTGATGGCTGGATTTGGCTCCTTTCTTCCATCTGAATAGTTCCGCCCAGTGCTCATTGTCACTCATCAGATCCACCTGTTCCTATTTCTATTTATGCTGCCTGTTCCCATACATCTGTGCCAGATTATTTGAGCCAAGAGTAAGAGTTTTCTAGCCTTCCTGTGAGTTTTTAATTATCTGATCTTGGCTAGTTTCTGTCCCAGGACTTCTGAGTTTTGGTTGCCCCTGGTCTGCTCTGTGTGCCTGATCTGTTTCTAAATTGTTACCTGGATTCTGCCTGTTAATGATCTTGGACCTGTCTTCTGACCCCGGCTTGGAAATCCCTTTGACGCCTATGATCTTCTGGCCTGGAAATCTGTTTCTGCTTCAACTCTGCCTTGAATTATCCCTCTGGATTCTTCTGCTCCTCTGCATTCTATGCTTCTGCTCATCGTTGCTCCACTTCTCTCCTGGAACTCTGGAAGTGGCTCTGCCGCAAGCCACGGAGAAACAATCCCTCCGGAATTCACTCCATCTTCTTGGCTCAGACTGAACTTTACCAGGTTAGTGACTCACACGCTCATTATCTTTTCCCACCTGAGTTCTAGAGTCACTAACCTGAGTTCCTGTCTCTAAAGAGTATCCAGCGAATCTGCCCCAGCTAATGAGCAGCCGCATGCTTACTCTATAATAAATGTTTGTTTTGAAATCACCCTGATCTGTCTGTTTGAATTCTGGGTCCTACGTTCTGAGCTTCTGACAGATATATATTTATCTGGTAACAAACTGCTGGACCCATGATGTTGAATGGAGATGAAAACTCTCACAGCAAAGGATTTTAATCTTTCTGAATAGAGTGTGCATGTTCTCCCCTCATTGTTTGCACCAACAGGTAATGTTATAGACTTTATATCTTACCCTTTATATCTTATCCTTTTAATAATACATTTAATTTTCTATAAAGGTTTGATTTTCCCTTCCCTCTGCTGCTGAGATTACAGAGCAGCAGTGGTTTATTACCACCATAGCCTCACTGCACTTAAGTTGACTCTTATATCCCCTTTCTGATATTAGCAAACAAAAATCACTCTGTGTGTGTTTTCTCTGTGTGTGTTTTTTGTGAGTCATGGGTCTTTCCTGTGATAAATTTTTCCACCACAATAAAGCAATATCCATAAAGAACATTTATCACCACAATCATGTTGCTGCTGAAGTAATCTTACATGGAGGAAATGATCAAATGAGCAGGAGGCACCATTTCTCTATGCAATGCCTTGTAAAAATATTTATACCCTTTTTGTAAAATAAAGTGATTTTCCACTCTCTAACTGTAATATAAGGTATTGGTATTGTGTTTTATACGACAAAAAAAAGTAGAGCATAAATGTTAAAATGTGAGAGCACTTGTATTCTTTCTCCTGATTCTGATTCCTCTGATTTAAGGTCCAAGCACCAAATTTCCATTAGAAGTCATTTCCTTAACTTCACAGGTTCTGTGTGCCCTGGAAGGTCATTGGCTGATACTGGGGTATTGTGCCCCTTTTAAGGGTGTGGTATTCGGTTGTTGAGAGATAGGAGCAGGGCTGGAAAATGTGTTTTGACAGGCTGGGCAGAGAAAAACCTCTTCTGTAAGCCTCCTCCTGATTGTGCCTTGCACGATTACATGAGAAGTAGTGTCATTGTATGTCATTCTATGGCTGTTTATTTGAAGATAGCACTACTCCATGAGGAGTAATTGTGCTTTTCTGGTAACAAGAAAGGTTCTGAATTCCACTTACCCCACGTACCGTAAACACTGGAGAAGTCTCCACTTCTGACCCGCCTCCAGCCGTCGTCTTCACTTATGTATGATGAGCTGTCAGTCAAAGGTTTCCTGACACTACTTCCCATCTGATTTTGTCTACAAGGCCCAATCAGGAGGAGGCTAACAGAAGAGGTCTGTCTCCGTGCAACCTATCAAAACACATTTTTCTTTGCACAAGGAGAAAATCTGTCTTAGGGCAGAGACGCTTTCGAGAGTGCAGCTGTCCTCAACAGTAGCCGCTGGATAGAAATTTCTGCGCGCGTTGAGCAGTGTTGTTTTCGCCAATGATGACAAAATTATTTCGTTGACGCTCCTTTTTTTTCATTAGGATAACGAAAACTGACGAGTTAAATGTGGATCTTTGATGACTAAAACATGACTAGTCTTAAGTTTAACTTTTCTATTCAAAATTGTAAATGTTAACTTTTTCTTATTTGTCAACTTAAAACTGACTAAAACTAGACTAAAACCATTTTAAGCTTTAGTTGGTTTTAGTCGACTATCACATATCGTAATGACTAAAATGTGACAAAAACTAAGTTAGTCCTGAAGACTAAGACTATGACTTAATCTACAATGGCTGTCAAAAACAACACTGGTGGTGAGATCCCGAGCACGATCCCGGGACTCGTGGGAGGAGCTGACGAGCACAGAGAGCGATTATCTCCTCTCGAAGAGGCAGTTTCTCTCACGTGTGATTTTGTTGTGCAGTGGTAGATAAAAGTAGCAGTTTAACATAAATGTTTTGCTAATGGGTATTTTGAAATAAATGTGACGCCATAAAGCATGATGTTTTTAGTGTGATGCAGAGTCTCGATTTGTGACTTCATTAGAGTTTTAAGCAGTTCAGCAGTCTGATGGCAGAGGGGGAAAAGCTGTTACAGAATCTGCTCGACCTGCAGTGGATCCTGCGAAGCCTCTTCCCAGAGGGCAGAACTAAGAACAGTCCATAGTGGGGGTGTGAGATGTCGCTGATGATGTTACTGGCTCAGGACACACAACGCTGGGATGAAGTATCTTTTATGGAGGGAAGAGGAGCCCCGCTGATCCTCTCTGCTATTCTCACCACTCTTTTCACATTCTTCCAGTCTGAGGCACTGCAGCCTCCACACCACACAGTGAGACAGCTGGTCAGAATGCTCTCTATGGTGCTTCTGTAGAAGGTGGTGAGGATGGGCGAGGGCAGGTGGGCTCTCCTCATCCTCATCAGGAAGTGCATGCACTTCTGTGCCATTTTGACCAGTGAGGTGGTGTTTTCAGTCCAGGTGAGTTTGTCTGTGATGTGCACCCCCAGGGACGACTTTCTGGACTTCATTCTGAATATGCAATGTGATGACACACACTTGATGTTGAATGTTGTGGGTGTGTTTTCACAAAAGGTCTGGGGCACCTCAAACCTGCAACTGAGTATATCCTCCTGTTGAAGAATCCTTATAAATCTTATGTACACCATCACACTCATGTGTATACACTACAGGTATTTTAATGTTTGTATACACGTATAATGTATTTACTGTGTGTCCGCGGGATACTTCCTCTTTTTTGGCTGCTGTTGTTTTTCTTTCTTTTCATTTCTTGCAGGTGTGGGAGCAGACTATTGGGATTTATTATGTACTTTCTATGTTGTTGTTTTCCCCCTTTCTTTCTTTCTCTCTCTCTCTCTCTCTCTCTCATTCTCTCTTTAACTTTCTCTTCTCTCTCTCATCTTAATTCTTATTGCCTCTGCCTTTCTAACCTCCATTATTTTCTGTGTCTTTTCTAATAAAGTTTGAAATACATTACAATTATTGTATACTTGTGGAGGCCAAGCATTAGGCCTGTTATCCAGCCCTGAGACATCAATTTTCTGTGCTATATTGGCAATCAAGAAAGGATTATAAAATAAGTTTCCTCCTCAGTAAACAGAGTCGTCCGTTTGTTAGATTTTCTCAGTATCCATGCAACCCTTCTATTAGGGCATCAGAGAGATTTTGGAAAACAGTTGTGAACAAGCAGCTTCATAGTCATCAAGAAAAACATCAGAAACTGGGTAGGAAGTTATAGAGAACATCGAGGCAATTTCAAGTTATAAGACAATGTCTCAAACATGGTAAGAAGATGGCACAACTTGTAACATACAAAAGAAATGTCAGGCCTGACACACCAGGCAAGGAGAGTTTTAATCAGATAAGCAAAGTGGCCCATTTTAGCTGTGGTTGTGCATTCCTCACATCTTGCCATAATGAAAAAGTGGTAATACAGAAGATGTTCCATGTTTTAGGGAAGAAATTAGTTAATAAATGCAGACAATGTTAGAAGAGAAAAAAGTGTTTGAGTAGCAAATAAGTCTTGAGTAACAGAGAGTCTCTATTCTATCTGAACTTTGGATCATTTAAAAAAAATAATCTTAATTGCAGGAAACATTAAGCCCACAAAGTACCAAATAAGAAAGTTAACCAATTTTTTTTAACCATAATCCCCCCTAAAAAAGACATATTGCATAAAAAAAAAAAAAAACTTGTTCATTAGACCTCAAAATTACTGATAAATCTATACAGAACAAATGTCATTGCAAACGTATTTTTTAAGTTACACAGTTTGGTTCTGTGATCATTCTTAACACCTATCCCCCGATTGTTATTGTTGGAAATATTTTTAACGTTCAATAATCCACAAGTGTAAATATATTTAAAGCATTCTTATTGTTTGTACAAATTATTCATTATAGATCCACTATAGAGACCTATATGAGGCTGGAGAATGCATATAAGTAATATGGTCTATTTACATGAAAGATCATATTTGAGTTTTAAACCTAAAGAAGCCCCTCTGACTGAACATAATGGACACCCACTCTCGCTTAGTTCAGGTTAATGGTAAGGAGGAGGAGCTGTCCGAGGTCCTGAAACCAGAAAAAGCAGAATCGCTCTGATAAGAGTTCCTGCAGCTCTAATCTGCTGCTCAGATCAGACAGGAAAACAGCTCCGACATGCCTGAGTGACCGTGATTATAGCATGATGACGCGTGCCACAGATGCTGCACCACATCCATTTTTTTTTTCTCAATTTATCTCTCTGTTTTTGATACTGGTTTATATCTTCCCTATTTCAGAGATAAACGCTCGGGATATGTTTAGTCCTCCTACCTCCCATTTAGACTTTCTCCGACAGGGACCGGCAACCAATCTTACCAAAGGTATACGCCAAACTGACGTCAGAGCATCAGGAATTTTTGACGTGTGAACGCCCCCACCATCACCACCATCAACATCACGACCACAGACAAGCACTGACACCAGCCCATCCTCTCAGCAGTATTTCCTCTGCCACAACAAGCAGTTCTATTCATCCCAGACAGCGAGTTTGGAAATACGCTGAATTTGATTTCAAAGAAGCTTTTTTAATTTTTTTTATTCTGTTTATCTGGTTGTTATAAATACGCGACGTTTACCTTTGGCAGTTTTTTTTGCGCCGCCGATTTTTGGAGATTACACTTTTCTTTTCTTATCTGTTTGATTTTCCTTTGATATGGAAATGAGATGTGGTCCAGCGGTGATGTGCTGTGTGTTCACCGTCCTCTGCTCCTTGCTGTCCGGCTCTCAGGCGTTGTCTTACGCGGACAGGCAGTACCTAAACGAGTGGGCTGTGGAGATCCCCGGCGGGCTGTCCGCCGCCGAGGCCATCGCCAAGGAGCTGGACTACCAGCTGGTCCGACAGGTAGGCCCACGCCCTACAGTTTGATCACATCAATTTAAAAAGATCATTTAGGGAAAATGTTGGGACATCTAGCATGGGCAGACCCAAAGCAGGATGTGTGTGGCTTTATTTTTATTTCAACCCCCTAATAAACCTACAATACAGACAAATCAGTGTGTTCTAAATTATATAACTTGCTTGGAAAGAGGATATGAGACTGAAAATATATATTCCTGTGAAATTATGGAACCACTGGACCCATCCACTATTATATGCATGATTGGTAAATCTTTTATCAATTTATGTACCTTTTCTTATATGCAAATATCTTTTCCTTCATAGGATGTCCGTTTTGTATCTCCTCCACCCACTGACGCTGGTTCTAAATATAACAAAGCCATGCTAAAAACTCATTACATTATCCTATGGCTTTTGGGTTTGGATTATAAATGTGCAGTTTGCCACAACTTATGTAAGAGACATAGAAAATATATCAAAGCATTTGCTGTGGCCAAATTAGACCAAGTTTAACAATTGTAGTGGTTGCGAAAAACATGGTAGTGGCAGTATGATTCTGTGAGATTTTCTTTAGCAGGGACAGGGAGGCAGTGGGGAGATTGATACAGGGCTAAATACAGGGCGGTCCTGTAAGGGTATTTTGTGCATCACTGAGCAGCAATATTTAGATTTCACAATTAAAATGTAAGAATCCTTTAATTTTTTTTAACCTTTTTACAAAGTTAACTCACAGCGTTAATTGCTGTCCAAGTTACCATTGCTGTGTCAACCTTTGTGAAAAATGACATAACCTGAGGCTCAAATGTTTAGAAATGTAGGTCTTTTAAGTTATATGTAGCCAGTTACTTTAGAAGGATATGAATTTTAAAATAAATGTAGCAAGCTTAAAAATCATTAATTTAATTCATTGTAAATTATATCGGTCTGGGAAACATATTTATATACTATTAAATTTGGTTTAATGTTGGTGATGCTGCTCTGCCTGCTGCTTTAAAATGTGGATTTATGTATCCCCATCTGTAAAAAAAAAAAATAATAACAAAAATGAACCTATAGAATAGAATAAAATATAATAGAACAAAAAAGCACAGACAGACATGATGAGTTCAGCATGTAAAATAAAGAGCAAAGAGCTCCTGGTATAAGCTTTACCAGATGCTTTATTTCATATTATTCCCCTTTCTGTCTAACATGTTGATCTCTCTGTAGATTGGGGCCCTGGAAAACCATTTCTTGTTCAGAAATCACAATCACCCCCGCAGAATGAGACGCAGTGCCGGGCACATGACCAGGCAGCTCTCAGAGGATGATCGGGTGGGTTGTTTAATGCTTGATCATCTTGACCTAACCTGTGCTGGAGCGTCTCATCTTCAGGGATTGATGAAATCAATATTCACTATTTGTCTCTCCAGGTGTTGTGGGCAGAGCAGCAGTATGAGAAGCGGCGAAACAAGCGAGCCGCCCTAAGGGAGTGCAGGGACTGCTCAGTGGAGAAGCTTTTTGATGATCCAATGTGGAACCAGCAGTGGTACCTGGTGAGTTATTTTTAATCAAGACTTTATAAAAAGTTTGTTTAAAATCACTCATCTTTACGCTAGAGGTGACTATTGGTTCAGTGCATATAGTACTAGTAACCGTAGGAGTCATTATGCATACTGAAAGTCAAGACCTTAATTGCATCTTCTTACCACCACATTCTGATGTTGCTCTGGGCAAAGCATTAGTCTGTATATTGGTAGATGGATCTCATGCCTTGGTAAGTGTAGCTTTAGTGAAGGTGTTTGGACTTCCCGGTATAACCAGAGAGGGATTAAGAATTATGTGTGTTTACTTACTGGTCAAATGTTTTGTACACTGGTTCTGATGCCTGCAGTTTGTCTGCAAAAATCTGCATGCATTATAAAACCCTGTGAAACACATCTCACCCCTGTCGTTGTGCATTTGGGACACATGAATGTTTTTACACATTAAGGAAGAGTATCAGCAAGCCTCAGCACATAAATGCAATTGTCAGATGAAAAATAAACCAGAATTGAAACATGCTGCATACACACAAACAAATAATGACAACATTGAGATAGAAAAAAAACAGCAACATTATTTCAAGCAGATCCAGCCAAAAGAGCCATTTGCTTAATTGGTCACACTGCTGTAATCCAGCAGGACAGGATAGGCCAGAACAGGATGTATTAAATCCTAATTTACCCATAGAGGGATGTTTTAGCCATCATATGGCTTGCAGTAGATGAGAGGACAATCACAGCTGTCCATCCTTTTTATTGCTTTATTTACCCATCTTCATTGGACAGAAGAGAACATCCAGATAGAAAACCACATCGACTTTTGTCCAATTCTTCTCCTGAATCAAAGCAGCACTTACTGTGGTTTTCTAAACAGCAATTACTTATACTTAAAATTACGGGCAAATAAATATTCAAATGCAATTAAGATGTTGTGTGTGTCCTTTGGTCACATTTTGTTGTGCAATTTAATCAAAAACTAGTTGCCAAATCTGATGAAACTCAAATCAAATTCTTTCCAACAAGGTATTTGAAAGCTCTGAGACCCAACATTTAAAACTTTGATTTATGCATCTTTAGTTCATCCAAAAAGAGTAATTTTCTTGGCAGTAACCATAGCCTGCGCGATTGCCCGAGCTTTGCACATACTGAGAGTCTTAAGCTCGTTAGATAAACAAGGTTGGCTGAGAGAGATCACATCCATAGAACTTGGAAAAGAAATGTAAAAAATTAGCCCCAAAATTTGGGTTATTTCCTGCAACACCAAAACATGCTTGCCACGTAGCATCAGACGGTTTAAATTTTACGCATATTGAGGAAACAGATGAAGATAATAAATGCTATTTATAAGGCAGCCTGTGTTCCACCTTTTACGAAATTTATTGACTGAACACACCTGTTTCAGTAAACTGAACAGGTGTGTGTGTGATATGAAAGCTGTCAATCTGTCCAAAACCTAGCAGATTTTTTTTCCCTTAGAGTTTTTTGACATAAGATAGAAACTCTTTAAATAATGAAGTCAATAAGTTGAGTCAATAAGTCTATGCAATCAACTGGTTTTCTTTAGAAATAAAACTTTGAATCCATTTGACTTTATGATCTGATTGAAATGTCAAAGTACCTTGAGATGACATATGTTGTGAATTGGCGGTATATAAATAAACTGATTCAAATTGAATTGAAACAGTAAACCAAAAACAAGCCTAATTCCCAAAAGATGATGCACTCTTAAGATTGTTCACACCAAATCCCAATGATATTCATCATTTGCCTTGAAGTTGTTGCACTGCTCTGCACAGATAATTTACCAAACATTCTAATGCAAACTGTATAATTTTAATTTCACAAAATGTGGCAAAGTTCAGCTTTGCTTTTCAAAACATTTTACAAGAGTCCTTTAGATTAAACTTTTAGATGCTGTGTTGTTCAAATGTACCTAATTATACTATTGAAAAATTGTCTGGCCTTCTATTAACAGCTCACTGAGGATGTCATTCACCCATTTGATTTAGATGTGTTGGAGCAGGATTTTAAAGGTTACTTAAAAAAATGTATCTTCTAAGCTCACATGACTCTAATCAGTGATTTACTCTGATGGGACTAATCACTTACTAAAGAGAGTAAATCCTTAATTTGCCATTTTAGGCTTGATCAACATCACTTACTTACCCCAAATGTGATATCTATTTAAAGATGTGAATGTAGTAAAGACAGATCTGTTCTCTCAGCCTCATCCCTTTTTGCACCTGTACTAACAGAACATGAGTCATGCTTGTGGCGACTGAGAAAACAAATTGAGATGAATCAGCTTTGCCGATGAGGCATGATGACACTAATGGAATCGGCTTCAAAGTGCCGCTTTTTGTATTTCCACATTAAATCCCGTCCGTGTCACAGGGAGGGCCGCATTACTCTAAGTATTCACTGTTTAGGGAAGCCTGAACTCAGAAGCAGATTAAACAGTGATCACATGCTAACTTCCATTTTTATTTCTAACCTTTGTTGTTAAAATGTTTCTTTTTTTTGTGTGGAACCAGCAAACGAAAGCCTAGATGACAAACAAAGAAAATTATTAGATAAGAAAAAAACTGAGAGGTCATAAAAGACTGCATGGACAGTACTTACAGGCTAATAACTGTGATACTGGCAGACCTGCAGATACTAGAGTAAGGGTGGAGCTCTGTGACGTGATCAGAGGTGGATAGCTGTAGCAGAGTGTAGGATGAAGTGTGTTTATCTGTTCTGAGTGGGTGACTGCATGAAGCTAATTAGTAAGTGACTCATAAATGTGGTCTGGAATTCCTTCCGCCTGTATTCCGTTGATCTTGTCAGTCTGTCTTAATAGCATTTTTCTTTGTGTGGACACTCACAAACATTATCAGTTTTATTATTGTTTTTTAGTCTCATGCCACCAATCCTAAAGCAAGCTGGCTTAAAGCTAGAAACATTCTGAATTACAGAGGTGCAATAGGTGAGAGGACTGAGCAGAAACACAACCAATCAAAGCAGAGGCCAATGCATCGCAGAGATGAGTCATATCTGGGCTGGTGTTCTGCAGCGTCTGAGCATAACGCACATAGAGCAGAGTTCTTTTTTTAGTTTCAGCTTCTTCCAGCTTTGAACCACAATCCTATAGAGGCAGAAAAAGGAAGGCATCGAACCGAACATGTTCATTCATCCTCATTCCTGTGCAGATTTTCTGATTAAAAAGGGATGTTTATGAATATGAGCATAGCCAAAAAACAAGTGCACGTTCACACAGCAGTTTGATTCTTGAGACTGAAGACGTGGTACTAAAAAACACAAAAGCCTTAATTAATTTGACCTTCAAGTCGCACTCTTCCTGTAAGTGGTTGTGAAGCACCGGGAGTGGACTCAAACTCCTACAAAGAAAGAGCTGACAACCCAGTAATGAATGTCTGCAAAGGTCAGCGGACTCAGCAGGCGGGAAGTTTGGCTGACGCTCATCATGATAATGCTTGAAAAGCCTTGTTTAATTGAAGTGATTTCAGACATTTTTTTTCTGTCCCCACATCCAGCAAGACACCCGGACGTCGTCCTCGCTGCCAAAGCTGGACCTCCATGTAATCCCTGTGTGGCAAAAGGGCATCACTGGGAAGGGAGTGGTGATCACCGTCCTAGATGACGGACTGGAGTGGAACCACACAGACATCTATGCTAACTACGTAAGACACCGTTACCATGGAGACAGCCTCTGTCGTCTGGACCTCCTGTTGCCATAGCAACACTGCTTGTGACACCTTACGATGTATTTTGTCAAGATGTGTTAATGAACATGCTATATGACGATGCTTCTCTATGAAGGTGGCCCTGAGCTTTTTGAAAATATAAAATCTGAACTTTAAAAGATTTTTTTCTTTGTGCCAATCATCTGCAAGATCTTAGTCTTCCTTTTTTATTTTCAGATCTAATCAACAAGGTTCAATTCTGTATTCAGAAACCATCTAAGGCTGCCTCACAAGAGCAATGAAAGAAAAACAGAGCAAAGATGAGACATAATGTATCTCAACAACTCCTAATGTAATTAGGTTCATGCTTATTAATCCAAAGATCAATCAGGCAAGACACCCAACCCTAATAATCAGAGCATATTATCAGCTTTCATTTGCATAATTTAGAAGCAGCAAAATGACTGTCATAAGCATCTGACTTCATTGGAATTGAAGCTGCTTCTGTGAACCAGCAGCAAAATGATGACAGTAAAGCTCAAAAGCTCCAAACATTTTGATTTACTAGTTAGATATTACAGTAGACTTACCAAGACAGGAAATAAGCTCTTGGTTACATGATGAATAAAATATGCCTTTAACGTTATTTTAATCGATTTCATTTATTTTCCCATTTTTTTTATGAATATGTTGGACCTGTTTCTGTTATCTTTCTTAAAGGACCCAGCAGCCAGCTACGATTTCAACGACAATGACCCGGATCCTTTCCCCAGATACGACTCCACCAATGAAAATAAGTAAGCCCATATATTAACATTTGCCTTAAACCTCTGTATGATTGGTCATATTATTTTTATTAGTATTCTTATATAAGTAACAAAAAAACATAGTAAAAATGTTTCAAAAGGGTAGGCATAAAGTACATATTTATTTCTTTACTTAGATTTATTTGATTTAAACAGTTATTTATGTTGTTTATGTACACATCCTTCAGAGAAAAGCTAAAGATATGAGTGGTTAATTCTTTTTCATTTAGGCATGGCACTCGATGTGCAGGTGAGATTGCAATGCAGGCCGACAACAATAAATGTGGCGTTGGAGTGGCATACAACTCCAAGGTTGGAGGTGAGGGCTTTTACTTTGTCCCAAATTTAAAAACAGTTTTCTAACTCCTTGTTTTTTTGTTTTTTTACCTGGAAGTCTTTTATTTTTGTTTAAGAGTTTTTTATACATAATATCCAAAATGTTTGTGATGAGAATGATTATTGTCTAACATAATAATGTCAATTAAAAAGTACTGAGTTTTAGTATATCGAAAGTGTGTTTTTCACTGAAATGTCATATTACTGAAAGGGACCCTAACTCCCCAAGCTTATTTTCTCATATAACCTGGCTGCTTCTATTTTAAGGTTTTGAATACTCTGAAAACCCTTTTTCTTTTTAAGCTTTTCTTTTCAATTGAAGTTAAAATCTTCCTAACTATCTATCCTCAGGCATTCGTATGCTGGATGGAATAGTGACCGATGCAATTGAGGCAAGCTCCATTGGATTCAATCCTAACCACGTGGACATCTACAGTGCCAGCTGGGGGCCCAATGATGATGGCAAGACTGTAGAGGGTCCTGGCCGCCTGGCTCAGAAAGCATTTGAATATGGCATTCAGAAGGTATTTTCAAATACAAATTCATATATTTTTTTCACCCTAAAGAAATAGTCTTAACCTTAAATTCTTGTAATATAAATTATTGAAGTTTGTTGTGACAAATACAACAATACACAGTGTAGCTCATAAGAGCAAAGTGGGTAAAAGGGTTTCAACATTTTATGTGTAAAAACGTTTAAGAAGGGACTTCGGGTTTAGCTTAGGCAGTGATTGCAGCTCAGAGCACAAGGCTCCCGGCAGCTAGGTGATATTTCTGCCTGTTAAAATGCAAATTTACATAGAAATATAGTCAATTGAGTACAGTTACGAGGGGCTATTAAAATGCATTGATTTAAAGTCATTGCACACAATGTAAATGGTTTAGGTAATCCAGTCAAACCCACTTGACAGAATTAGAAAGCTGGAGATATCTGGGTTAAACCAGTTTTCTTGTAATCAAGGTCCTAAAAGGGCTGTAAAGGTTTTAATCGCAAAAACATTTTACTACATGTATACGTATACAAAGACTGATACTGAGGGGAGGTTCATCTTTATTTGGGGACACCTGGGGGAGGTTTGTAAATGTTTATGCCTCGCCAGATTTTATTTTAACATATACTTGAACTGATAGCATCCGAAGCTCAGGGTTTACTTGATTGTGGTAGAAATTTTAACACCAAATTTAAATAATGCTTGCATACATCTAAACCTTTCCATTCATCATTTTTTCTCACCCCCACTCTGTATACTCCAGGCTCGATTATTTTTTGATTATTTAAAAGGATTGGTGAATTACATAATAAGTGGTAAGTGGAGTACATAGTATCTGATGCATGGACCTGTCAGACCTGTCAGGCTCAATTTATATTGACATACAATTGATTTCTGAGAAGAAGAAAACATTCTGGAGTTTAAATAAAGGGATCCTAAAGGGGTCCCATGAGGTAGAATAATTGGATACTGCTCCAATATTAAAAAACAAAACAAGATTAACCTGATTCATAAAAAGTCACATAGTCGAGAAATAACAGTGGATTTGAACAAGACTAAAAATTAATTGAATGAACTCTACTCAAACTATATTAAAAGTGTCTTCTTCTAACATGTAATTGACCATATAACTAAAAATAACATGCAGGCTTTACTTTTGAGCCTTAATGCAGAAAAGGCATTTGACCTTGTTAATTGGCAGTTCTTATAGAGAGTGTTACAAAAATTTAGATTCCATCCAGTTTTTGGTTGGACCTTACAAATACTCTTTAAAAGTGCAAAGTGAACAATGAAAATACATTGGGAAATTTCACACTGATTTGATTTGGAGAGGGTGGACTAGATAGTGGTGCCCATAAGCCCAGTATGTTTTTTAATGTTCATAGAAGCTTTAAGGCAGGTGATTATCCAGAATAAAAATTTAACAGGCATCCAAGTACTTGGCCAAGAGCAAAAACTTCCTTATTTGCAGATGATGTTTTCATTTACATGTGAAATTTGGAGAGCTCATTTTAAAAACGATGGTAAATACTAAATAATTTAGCGCAGTCTTAAGCTATAAATTAAAAACCTCAAATCTTGAGCCTCATATATGAACCATATCTTGGTGGTAAATATTCCAAAAGACCTATTATACTTAACATTTAGAACTACTGAATAATAAGAGAAAGAAAGAAATCAAGATGTGGAATTTAATACCATTCGTATTTCTTGAGTCTCTGATTGGATCAGAAAAATGAACATCCTGATGAGGCTGCTGTATTTGTTCCAATTGAAATACCATATGCACAATTTAATGAATGGGACAAATTATTATCAAGATATGTGTAGAAAGAAAAAAAGCCAAGAATAAAATATAAAACTTTGCAGTTAACTAAAAACAAAGGGAGATTTTGAATGCACTGTTTGAAAGGTTATTATATAGCTGCTCAACTGAGAATTCTGGTTTGTTGGTGTAGATTTTATTTTCATGTCAGATGGAAAGAAATTGAGGAGAATGTATTTGTTGCAGCTTCTGTCCATGCATGTGAAGCGATGAAAAAACTAACTAAAGTAGGAAATAGATGGGTCACTTTACCTTTAAAAACTTTGTTAGTTACTAAGGGAGGCTGGCTTACACAAGATTCTAAGATGGTGCTCGTATGACTCAGATTTTATGCCAAATAAGCTGGATGTGAGTTTTAAGAAATGGACTGAACAAGGCCTCACATCATAATGCAGTTTTTCAAACAAGGCACTTTGAGGAATTTCCAAACCTTAACAATACATTACAACTGAGATGACCTGGACTTCTTTAGGGTTCTCCAGGTGCAACACCATATTAACTGCTTAATCCCTGATGTATGGAGAGTGTTTGAAAAAAAGCTATTGAAAGTGTTTATTTATGCCTATACAAAGGATTTCAGACTAAACCTAATTTCTAGGCTGTATTGTGGACTACAACAGGTCAAAATGACAAGCAACGTGTATGTAAAGCAGGGGTGGGACAAAGCGATAAGTGAATCCCTGAACAAGTTTGGCTTAAATGCTGTTAATTTTAGAGCAAATTATTAAACTCAGTTTTTACCAAATAGCTGTACTGAATTTAGAGTAATATTTGGGCCAAAAATGACTTTTTGTTATGCTGAACTTTTTGCCCAATTTGGACAAATGCTGAGACTAAATATTTATTGGAAATACTGAGTGTAGCAGCCAGGAAATGGTTCAAACCAGGCAAGACATCCATCGACGACTGGTTTTGAGTATATAGCATACAGTACGAGGCACGTCAGTATTTTCTTTTGAAATAATAAAATATATTAACCTTTTCTGTTCATTACTGTGTGCTACTCTATAACACAACCTTCAAATTACACTCCAGTTTATCAATACAGTATGACAAAACTGTTACAATTTCAAGCAATGTAAATACTTTGTCAAAACACTCAATGTTTAGTTGCTGGGAAGTGCTAATGGGAGTATTTGTATGCAGCAGAGGGGGTAAGATTGATCAGTTTCAATACAGACAATGCAGTTGGATGCTAAGTGTGAAAATTTTTATTGACAAAATGTCATCAGCTGTAAAGGTATCTTCGATGTTTAACTGAGCATCAGTCAAAACTGATTAAACTACTATTGGTTGAACCAACAAACAGCTTATATTATCCTTTTTTAAATTACAATACATACAATTCTGTTCTGTTGCATTCTAAACAATATTTATAAATATTTTAATTTGCTAAGTAACACGAGATGACCTGATTCCGTGTGGTGATGTAAAACAACTGCTATTGTGTCTTGTGTAGGGTCGAGGTGGAAAAGGCTCTATCTTTGTCTGGGCATCAGGTAATGGAGGGCGGCAGGGTGATAACTGTGACTGTGACGGATACACAGACAGCATCTATACAATCTCAATCAGCAGCGCCTCACAGCAGGGCCTGTCTCCATGGTACGCAGAGAAGTGCTCTTCCACCCTAGCTACAGCATACAGCAGTGGAGACTACACAGATCAGAGAATTGTAAGTAGATTTTAAGAAACCTCATCTAGTAGAAATAAGTTTTACTTAATCACATACATTTTTTTTTACTTTTGCCTTCAGACAAGCGCTGATCTTCACAACGAGTGCACTCAGACTCACACTGGGACTTCAGCTTCTGCCCCACTGGCTGCTGGGATATTTGCCCTTGCATTGGAACAAAAGTATGAGACTCTACAATTCATTGGCAAATTATTAGCACTCAGTTCTGCTTTATGAATTTTATTACATTCTTAATAACCTGCCTTCCTTATGCTTATGTTTGCTGCCTCAGTCCGGATCTTACCTGGAGAGACCTGCAGCACATTGTGGTATGGACCTCAGAATTTGATCCTCTGGCCAATAACCCAGGGTGGAAGCGGAATGGTGCTGGGCTGATGGTTAACAGCCGCTTTGGATTTGGACTTCTCAATGCCAAATCACTTGTAGAGCTTGCTGACCCAACTGTATGGAAGCATGTGCCAGAAAAGAAGCAGTGCATCATTCGAGATGACTCATTTCAACCAAGGTACAGTGCAGATGTTCATGCAGAAATTGTAGATTCTGTTGGATGTTCCAGCATGTCATACAGTAAAGTATGTCTAAGTTTATGTTTATTCCTCAAATAATAGTAGATTAGCGGTTTCAATATCCCCAACATAAAAGTTCTGATTACTTTGCAAAACCCCTGTTTAATCCTGAAGAGTCGGTTCTACATTTCCTCTCAGTGCTTAGCAGTGAGCATGCCCCTCTGGCTTCATGCCAGCTTAAACACATAAATCCTTTCATTCATCTCTCGGGAGAGTGGGATTAGTTGATTTTTTTGTGCAAATGAATGACCAAATGTTCCCAAATCTGCAGATGCACATTGTGGACACTTGGGACTGTTGTTAAATAAATATGTCAGCATACAATTAGAACAGGTAGAGTTACAAAATCTCGTATACGGCATAACATGCAATAGTTTTCTGACAAGTATGTAGCGATGCAAGATCAAGAGTATGATGACAAGTGTGAGTAGGTTTAGTAAGGTCACGAAAATAAATTAACTTGTTAAAAAAATCATTGTTACTTGTCCTCCAAGGTCAGTGGTTTATATAAAAGATACAAAATTAAGGTACCGTATTTAAGGGATGATGATATACATTTTTACCATTGTGTTTCTTAAATAATGAGAACGGCTCATTATTTCTCAGGAGTAATATAATGTTCGCAAGAACGTTGTCAAGAAGTGTTGTTTATGTCTCAGGCACAGCTAATTCAATGCATTCCACAGAGACCTAAAGGCAGCAGGAGAGATCACTATAGAGATTCCAACTAAAGCCTGTGCGGGCCAGGAAAATGCTATCCATTCTCTAGAGCATGTGCAAGTGGAGGCAAGCATTGAATATACCCGGAGAGGAGACCTGCACATCACACTCACCTCCCCAGCTGGTCAGAGACGTTCAAGCACAAATAACAAACAAATGTGTAATGTCAAATAAATTAAAAGTATAGTTTTAAATAATCTATTCCTTTGGGGTTTTCCTCAGGTACAACAACTGTACTGCTGGCAGAAAGAGAAAGAGACACATCATCAAATGGCTTCAGAAACTGGGACTTTATGTCTGTTCATACATGGGGAGAAGACCCTGCGGGTACTTGGACCTTAAAGATCACAGATACTGTGAGTTTTTTATAAATGCACTCATATGAAACTGTCTAATAATTTGGGGGTTTGTATTAGTTAATTAAAATATGAAGTAAAACATAAATAAAATAATTTTAGTGTGGGAAAATAAAAGCATAGAAAATATATATTTTTTTCTTACTAATGAAAAGATTTTAACTGTAATCCTATTACTGATGAATTTGTAGGTTTGTGGAGCGTCTCCTTTTCTGACTATTTTTATTTAAACCACTCGTTTAATGCTTTTATAGTCAGGACGGATGGAAAACAAGGGAAGGATCTTGAATTGGAAGCTGATACTCCACGGAACATCAGAAAAGCCGGAACACATGAAGAAACCCCGAGTCTACATTCCTTACAATGCTGTTCAGAACGACCGCCGGGGTGTGGAGCATATGGATGACATGATGGCGGTGAGCCTTGAACACTTTTTAAGATTTTGTAAACCACAAATAAAATCATTCCTGTTTTTTTGTGGGAGGGGGTTTGTTTGTTTTTTGTGGAATTACAATAAGCTGCAATTACAGCTTTAAGTCATTAGCAATATATGTTTACCACATGTGTAAATGTAGAAATGTTCCCATTCTTCTTCGTAAATTTGATCAGTCAGAGCGAATATCTGTAAATGTTTATTTAGGTCTAAAGGTATATTGTGTAAAAATTACTGTCATCTAGCTCTGACTCAAGCTTTCACTCAAATGAATACTGTATCCTAATACCCAAACGATCTACATTGCCACCTCTCAGTAACACTGAACTTCCAGCCAGGGGAAACATGTTCTTATTCCATGGGTTAGTACTATTTTATCCCTCGCCGGCGTCTGTACTTTTACGATACCGACTCTCATGGGGCTTCTTAATCGGGTGACCAGCCTTAAGTATAAACTAATATAAAAAAGATGCATCGATTAGTGGAGGTAATAACAAACTGACAATAACACATACAGGCAGTAAAAAAGAGAAATTATTACACAATGTCTCTTTAAGACTGCATCATTCTTACATGTAAATACCTAACTTATTCTATGGAGCTCTGGCTGTCCATTTAGATTATCTTACTGGAAAGTGAAATTCATCTCAGTCTCATGTGTCTTAACTAGATTCTTCTTAAGAATTACCCTGTATTTGGCTTCCTCTGCTCTTCATTGTGCTTTTCTAATGCGTCTTTGATAATCGATGAAACAGTGCTCTCTGAAAGATTCATACCCGACATGTTGTTTCATGAGTTAACCCTGCCTTAAAGTTTTCCACATGTTTATCCTTGACTTGTCTGTTGTTTCCTTTATTGTAAATTCTGCTTTTTGTCTACCATTGTTCAAACAGATACTCTTTGTGTATACTGACAACAGCTGGACTTTTAACCAGATATTTAAGTTCTGAAAATAACTGATTAGCTTGAATTTTATCCATAGGTATCAGAGTCAGAGTCTACTAAAATATTGGCATTCCAGACTTTCTAGAATATTTTGTAAAAGAAATGGGAACAATTATCTTAACCTTCTACTTAGCTTGCAGCTGCTGTGCACTTCTATGTATTGTTTAATTAAATGCAACCTCAATAAAATACATGGACTTTTTTATGTTTAGCATTAGAACCCTAAAAATGCAGTGTAGTCATTTTTATAAGGCCCTGCATGACCTCAAGAAAGTTAAAGACCTATAAATTGGCATCAGGCCTCTGGCCCTCTCTCACCTGTGTTGTCTTAAATGTATTAATTGTTCTGTTTCTTTCTCCAATCCTCAAGGCAAGACAAATATTTGTTGCAACGCTATGGCCTCAATTCTTCTAAAGCCAAATTATGCTACAAATTCCCACAAGCAAATTTTAAGGATTATCTTTCTTTTACAATATGTCTCATAACCGGATGTCTCCTTTTTGTCTGATTGATGAAACAGGAGCCCACACAGCCCCTCCCTCCTCAGAAGACTGAGCCTGCAGAAGCATCTCCTTCACGCTCAGAGAAAGAGCCCAAAACCTCTTCAAGCAGCTCTCCTTACTCTCCTTCCTTGGCCCTGTTGCGACTCCTTCAGACGGCCTTTAATCGACAGGCATCTCAGCTTCCCCAGGCCGCAGCAAGGCCTCTCTCTGCTTGGAGGAAGCAGCAGCAGAGCCAGGGTTTCCTTCCTCCTCCAACAAAACTCCCAGCTCAGAAGCTGTATCAGGCTCTGGACTTGATCAACAAGTTTAAGGGCCCAGAGGACAACCTCTACAGTGACTACAGTGACGGCTTCTACAACAGCAAACCATACAAGCACAGAGACGACCGGCTGCTGCAGGCCCTGTTTGAAATGTTGGATGATGAGTAGAAGCAGGAGGCATAGGTGCAGGGGGCAGGAGAGGTTACTCCGCCATTGGATTGGGAGCAGAGGAACAAGCAAGGAGATAAAAGAAAGCAAATAGATATCAAACCTCTGGAGGCTAAGTGGAAATGAAATTTACCCAAAAATGCTGCATTTCTGATTTTATTTTCTAACCCATAAATGTTCAATGACCTGTTCTTTTACTCAATTCTTGGAGAAGTAAACTTTCCTAATGTTATTTCAAATATTGACATGTTTAGAGCTCATGTGTTGTAAAATGTATCTTCATGTGGTGAATCTAAATGCATTTAACCAGAATTAAAGGGATGTAGGGAGATATGGTGGCCTTGGCTTTCTTATCTGTACTGCCTGCTCAAGCATGCCACCGTTTAAATCTAGGTTTTGCAGTAGTATCTATATCGATTTGATCATCTTTAGACAATGATTGTAATATGGTTTGAAAGCCCATTTAACAATTCTATCTATGTTTAGTTATTCCTGATGTTCTAAGCTATTAATATGTTTTCTTTCTCCCCCACTGTGTATAAGTTGATCCTAAAAATCTAAAATGATGAATATATTAGAGAAATTCAAGAAATTGAGAAAAAAAAAAAAACTAAACGGACATGATTTTTTTAAGTTGGTGTTTAATCTCTTCTCAGGGTACCGACTAAACAAGAAAATAACTGCTTTATTTTCTGTATTCTAAGAAGTATTAAGAGAAATATATATTATTCTTAAAAATGACAATGAAATGGTTTGAACATGATATCAAATAAGAATAAATCATAAGTGAAGAAAAACTACAAAAAATTGGTAAAAAAGAAATACAGTAGGCTGAGTCAGCACCCCAACATTTTAATTTTTTATGAGTGCAATTCTGCATTAAAGAAATTATTTTTATATAGATGTTTTAAACTTTTACAATCAGTTTAATGGAACATCCAAACCTTTTAAAAGTGCTTTTCTTTGGGGGTGGGGTTTCAGTTCACAAACTATGTGGTAGCAAAATCTATATAATTATAAATAGGTACAACACCAAACACTGCCAACTAGCTTCTGTCAGAAAGCTTAGCAAAACCAAAAGCTAAATTGTTGTTTTCCAGCATATGTACCAGTACAAAAAAAAAACAACTCACTTGGCCAAAACCTCCTTAGAATAGAGGCTCAACCTTGAAGCACTCTTGCACATTCATGTTGGATGCCTTAATTCCTGCTATAATTACTGTGCCCGCTTAATCTCTATGAGTTTTTTCTGAATCTATTCTCAAGAGTTTGTGACATGAATCCTCATAAAACCTTTATGCAGAGTCCCTACTCTTTGGCTTCAAGCTGTCTGCCCCACTTTGCAGCCAGCAAAATCACAGTAATATAATGATGTTTGCATAAAGCTTCCCATGCTCCACTTTATCTATCCCTAAGAGTAGCCTGTGCAGTTTTCTTTGTTTTTCTGTTGACAGATTATTCAGTCAACTGTTGTTTACACAAACTGAGATTTTGTTGCAATTTCTGTATGTATGTATAAACAAATAATAAATTTAGCGAATAAACAGCAAAGTGACATCTTGAGTCGGAGACGTCTTTGTCAGGATACATTGATTCTTGAGATATGTTATCTATAATATTACATAAAAAAGAGATGTAAATAAAGAAAGAAAACGGGTCGGATTCATATTTTTTGCTGCTGTACAATTAGATAATTGAAGAGAATTATAGTGATTATGATTAAATGAAATAAAAGGACAAATTGAGGTTGGAGCATCAGAGATAATCTATTTTATATTAGCAATGTCCCTAATATGATCAAAGGCAGTTTTAGAAATAATAGCAAAATCTTTACAAATGTTTGAAATCAGATACTATAACCATCAAAAAGTTTCGACCATGACGTGTGCAGTAAAAGTCCTAAGAATGTTTTGGTAGGCCTTGGGACCAAAAAAATAAAACCTCTTAATGCTATTGTTCACCAAAATAAAGTTATTAGGTATATATTAGCTATTATTCTGTATGTTAACTGAAGAAAGATCAAATTAATTAATAGTTGTATAGGTTCCTGAAAATAAATAAAAGATAAATAAACAGGGTTATAATATTTGCAAAAAACTTGACTAAGTAGAAACACATAAATGCAAAATAGCACTAGATTTATAAAGCTTACACCATAGGTAAGCTTTATAAAACAACAAGGATTGTAAACAAGAAAAGACGTCAGTAAAATACTAACAATAGTGAACCTTTAAAAAAATGCAGTAGGTTTCAAGCTCTTAAAATCACAAATTCTTCATTAAAAATGTCTGAATAACATCTGTTTTAAAAGCTTCAGAAATAAAACCCCAGACAATAGAAAAAAAAAAGAAAAAAAACATTACATATCAGATAATAGAAATGTGGTGTTATCTTTAAAAATCTAGTTAGTGAAATATCTATTGAAGAGGAGGACAAATTCTGTCTCTACATACTGAGTAGAACAGAAGGATGGTTTTAATCAGCAGCTTTGGGTTGTGGGGACAAGAGGTAATGAGTTGTGAGAAATATTCATACATTTCGTTCTTAAATTATTTAATGGGTTATTATAAAAAGTCTTTCTCTTTGAAATAATCACAACCCAGTTTTGTCACCATCTGTTTCTGCTTGGCCAACCTACTGTATATTCTCTGGCTTATGAGGATAATTTTGAAAATGTTGCATTTAAAAATATCATGTGATTCATAAAAAGCTTTGTTTTGCCTGCAATTTTAAAAAGTTACTGAATATTGAGATTACATCTATGCTATGTTTGTCCTTTATCTACGTCTTTGTTTTCTTCCTGATTATGTGATCTTTCATCGATTATTTTAGAATATTGATAAGTTAAATAAAAAAAACACTGGACCATGTGTGCCACAGAAAAAATCTTATGAAGCAAGTTTTCAGGGTGTCATTTTTTGAAGAGATTCAGAAAAAAATAAAAACATTTAGATTTATTTCTGTGCAAGAGCATTCTATACAAAGTCACAACTGATTTAATCTCTTAACACTATATATATTATTTAATATGTATTCCAGTATTGTAATATTGTGCTTCACAAAAGTGAGCACTTTATGTTTACTTCTATCATTGTTACGTTGGCATCAGCCCATCCTTTAGCTGAAGTGGAGCACCAGTTAATCTTCCTTGATAAAGAAAGATTCAATCTAACAAAAAGACTAAAAAGGGAAAAGAATATTATTAGCCATCCTTAAAGTCCCTGCCCAGCGTGGAGGAAACATCCCAGTGGGTGCAATTTCGCAACATGGCATCATCATCATCATCATCATCATCATCATTATGCTACCCTGGTTCCTACAGCACTGCCCACCTGGTCACATTCCAGGACACCTTTTTTATTTTTTATTTTTTTTTTTCATACAACTTTATTTGTTTCTGCAAAGAACAATACAGAGCAACCATATTGCACTATAGGAATTCACAACCATTATTTACAGACATTTTCAACAAGTATAAGTTCACATTTTTACCAGTCAAGTAAATGACCTCATTTTGTGCAAAACATGAAACAATAAGGAAAAAAGACAAGAAAAAATAAAATAAACTAAGATCTGACATTTATTAAACAAAAGTTAACGCTAGGGGGAAACAGCACTCTAAATAATATTGAAAAGGACAAGTTGTGTTTATAGATCAGAGTCCATGACAAAGAAGGCCTGGCGGTGAACAGCTGATAACTTAATGGGAACTTTATCAATATCATAATTGCACATTAAGAAGAAGTTTAATCCACCAAGTTTAGAAATCATATACAAAGTTATAGCATTCCAAATAGAGTTAGGATGTTTGTATATATTTTTTAGCCAATTAATTTTAAAAGTGTTGTTCAGAGTAGTAAAGTCTAGGAAGTTAAGACCACCTTCATTGTATGGATTCATAAGAACAGGTTTTTTTTTAAATAGTGAGTCTTATTTCTCCATATAAAGTTAAATAACATTTTGTCAATGTCATTTAGAAGTTTTTTCTCTAAGTGGAGAGATAAAGCTGCAAAAGTCAGACGCGAAGTACCCTCTGCCTTGGTTATTAATACTCTCCCTTTAAAAGAGAGATTTCTTAAGAGCCATTAAACCAATGGCTCTTAAGAAATCTCTCTTTCTTTGAGTTTTCTGGATAATGGGTTCAAAATTTAAGGATGCTGTTCTTTGTTGATCTTTAGTAATTATTATATCCAAGTACCTCACTTCACCTTTAACCATTATATTACAGATGGAGCTGGTGGAGCATTCCTTTATAGCCATGAGTTCACATTTGTTGACATTTACATATAATCCAGAAGCTCTTGAAAACTCTTTTAAAGATTCCAAAGCACTAGACACCTGATTTTTATCCTTCAAAAAGAGAGTTGTATCATCTGCAAGTTTAGTGATTATAAGTTTTCTATCTAAGAGAGGGATGCCTTGAATATCACTGGATTTAATATGGTCTGCTAAAAGTTGAGAAACCAGTAGAAAAAGGTATGGAGAAACTGGGCATCCCTGTCTAATTCCTCTTAAAAGATCAAATCTGGGACAGGTTTCATCAGTTAACTTTACCGATCTATTACCATTTTTTTACAGGGTCCTTACTGACGATGATAAATAATGTCCGAAACCAAATTTACACAAGGAGTCTAAAATGAATTGATGTTCCACAGTATCAAAGGCTTTATAAAAGTCTACAAATAACAGAAATCCATCATCTTTGAATAGATCTGAATAATCTAATACATCTAGCACTAATAGTATATTGTTGGTTATGTGTCTGTTGGTCATAAAGCCTGATTGTGTTTCATTATGGAGTTTAAGACACACTTAAGCCTTTTTGCGATGATGAACGCAAAAATTTTATAGTCATTATTGAGCAAGCATATAGGGCGATTCCAGGACACCCTTGACCGGAGGTCTTCAACAGGGTTCCGTTACTTCTAGGGGGTCCACGGAGGTACTGCATGGGGGTCGGGAAAGTTTTGGTTGATTACATTTGTTTTTTATATTCCCCCCTGCAATTTTTTTCCACTAATTGAAATGTCTTTAAACATGCAGTAACATGAATTCAACACACTGTAGTAAACAGATAAATGGAGGCAGAAGATGTCTTTCAGTCATCAATGCACACATTCAGCG